TTGATCTGTAAAGGAAGGAAAAATGCTTTTTAGGAAAGTAATTTCCTATAGACAAAGCTTGAGCATGCTGGCTGGATTTTCCATTTTGCTAATTGATTAGTCAGTCAATTGGTAAGGGTTGATTTGAAGCCAGCTCTGTGCCAAGCACTGTACTAAATTGATATAGTACATGAGGCATTAATTCTCTGAGCTTTCAGAGGATACTCCGAGAAGTCAGACACATACATGAATAGGTTAGCAAATGATAGTTTGTTATACACACACACACACACACACACACACACGAGTGCGCGCGCACGCACACGCACAGAATGCATTGCCTAGTGCTGCACAGGATGTATAATGAAGTAAAATTTTTGATTTTATAGAAAGAGCAAATAAAGCTTAGAGGAGGGGAGATTGTTATACATTAGAGCCAACCACAGGTCATTCCTGAGGAAAGGGACTTGAGGTTTGGGTAGGGCCAGCCTGGTAGAAAGTAGGGCAAAAGATTTTTATTTCATCATGAAGGAGAACATGAACACTTGGGGGCAGGGGATGTGGAAATGTTCAGTAATAAAGAAGAAAGCTAGGAATTTCCCTGGCAGTAAGATAAGTAAAGAAAAGTAAGATAGATAGGGTGGAGCAATATTTTGGAAACCCTTGAAGGCTAGGTGTCTTCAGCTATAATTAGCTCCATGCACTTAATGTTTCAGTCTTTTTTTGTAATGACAGTGACAACAGGAATTCAAATGTGACAGTGAGCCTAGGATTTTGCATCCTTAGAATCAATGGTAACTTAGGAGGGTCTCAGAAGTCCTAGAGTTCAAGCAGCCAGCCATTGTAAGAATCCTCCCTTGTGCTCAAACTCTTTTGGGCTAGAGAGCTCATGCCTTCTCAAGGAAGGTAGTTTCTTTGTGAAATATCTCCTAATGCTAGAAGGTTCTTCTTTCTCTTTTTTTAAATTTCTTTATTGATTTTAGAGAGAGAGGAAGGGAGAGGGAGAGAGAGATAGAAACATCAATGAGAGAGAACATTGATTTAGCTGCCTCCTGCATGCCTCCCACTGGGGATTTGGCCCACAACCTGGGCATGTGCCCTGACCAGGAATCAAACCCTTGGTGCATGGGTCAACCCTCGACCACTGAGCCACACCGGCGGGGCGAAAGTTCTTTTTTTTTTAACTGAGCCTTAACCTGCCTTTTTGCTACTTTGAAGGTTGGTTCTAATCCTTTTCTTTGTTCTCTTCTAGAACAAATCTTTTCCTAAGTTAGAAACACAATGATTCAGGCATCTAGAGATGGTTATATTGACATCCCTTCTTCACCACCTTCTCTCCCATATATCTAGTCTCATGGCATGTTTTCTTTTCTAAATAGGTTGACAGTTTTTCCCTCTGTTTTCTCTCTCATTAACTGGTTTGTTCACTCACTCATTCATTCCATGTATTCAGCAGATGTTTATTGAGCACCTGCTAGGTTCCAGGCATTGTTGAAGCTCTGGGGCCATATCAGTGAAATTGCCCATTCTCACGAAGCTCCCATTCTAGTGGGAGAAGTCAGACCAGCAATTAACAGGTGAATAAGTAAGTAGCAGATGGTACTAAGTACCTTATAACAAATTAAAGTAGGAAAGGGGATAGGGAGTTCCAGAGGATGGAGTGCAATTTCAGACAGAGTAGCTCTAGGGAGCCTCACTGAGAAGATGCAACTTGAACAAAGACCCGAGGAGGTGAGGGAGCCAGGGACGGCAGAGAGAACTGGGCGGAGAGAAGAGCGACGCAGAGGTCCTGCGGAAAGGCTGTGCTGGCTTGTTGGGGAAGAAGGCGGCCAGCGTGGGAGGAGCTGAATGAGTAGGTGAGGAGGGAGGCCAGCATGGGAGGAGCCGAATGAGTAGGTGAGGAGGGAGTGGATGTCAGAGAGGGACTGGGAGGCCGCATCCTGAAAGGCCCCTTTGGCCACGGTCCCGCTAAGGGCACGTACCTCGATTGCAGTTTGTCCCCAGCCCTGGTTGGGTCGTGTGGGTGGCAGCCACTCGATGTGTCCCTTTCATGTCGATGTTTCTCTCTCTCTCTCTTCCTTCTACTCTATCTGAACAAAAAATGGAAAAATGTCCTTGGGTGAGGATATAAAAAAAATAAAAATAAAAAGAATTAGGTAGGTGAGAGAGAGAGCAACAGTGAGCTAGGAGCTAACATCTTTAAGGAATGAGGGGAATGGCCAGGCAGGACGTAGGTGGGTCAGTGGATGACATTGTTAGATGTCACTCAACCACTCAGGTTTTTGAATGTCATCTGTGTCGAGCTCCAGAAAATAAGATGCACAGGCGTTTTATTTGTCTGTTGCTTTGTTTTTAGTGTCCCATTACCAGCTTAGTGTCCAGATACTGTTAGACACGTGAACTCCAGTTCAAAAGAATTTGATTCGGATTCCGATTGCCAAGTGTTTCCTGGTAGTGAGAGGTTGCCTTTTTTGCCCCAAGCTGTTATCCAGGAGAGAATTTGTGACATAGGAAGGGTTCAGCTCCTGGCTGTGGCATTTGTGTGGCCTTGGACAAACAACTTAAACTCTCTGAGACTTACCTGGTTACTTCATCTGTAAAAGAGGGGACATAATATTTATCTTTCATGCTTATTTTTAGGATTAAAGAAGAGAATGTGAAAGCAACTAAGAATTGTCCCCAGCAATTCTAGAAGCCAAATTCAAATTTTATTTCCCAGAGCTAAATTTTGATATTTTGAGTTAAAAATACTGTGAAAATGAGCATCTATTCTTGGTGAAAAGAAAATGTCTTTTGTGAAAATCAAGTGTCCTATCCACTAGCTCGTGTGTGTGGTATGGAGAGTGAGGAGTATAGCTTAGTTTACCAAATTGGGGAATCTGCAAAATGGGTTCCTGTTGCAGCAAAGAATTATACTCTACACTCATTATCTGATTAAGGCAAAATAATTTTTATTGCAGTTATCCAAATTCAGTGAAATGTTTAATGAGACATTCACTGCCTCGGGCAGGTTAGCGTGAAATTCAATTTGTGTTAATTTGCCCAAAACTTAGGAAGCAGAAGTATAATGTTTTTAGAATGTGGTTCTTTGAGAGGAAAACCAGTATTTTATAAGATGTTTCTACGCATAGATTTAGATTTCTCTATCATCTTCTTCCTTCAGGCATTTAAAAAATCACCATGAGCATCACAGAAAGTGGATCAATAACAGGTGCTTAGTGTCAATGGGGTAACGGCAGGATCGATAGGAGTCAGGGGTTTTTATGAGATGTTGAGCATGGTGCATGTGTATATTGAATATCTATAAAGGAAAGAGTGATGGAATCAGGTCAGGTGACCTAGGGTCCCGTTCCCACTCTGCTGGTTACTCAATCCAGGGCCGTCAGGCCTTATGTTCTTCATCTGAAAAGTGGGCATAATAATGTCTCATGGGTTTGCCATATGAATTGAAAGAGGTAATTAACCTATGTGGGAATGTTTTATATATTATATTCATCATAGGTAAGGGAGTGTTATTATGCCTTCTGGTGAATGAAAGAGTTAGTTAAAGGTAGCATCATCAGATATTTCACAGAGAGACTCTAGGCCATGTTCATCGCTTCTGCTTCCACCAGGAGGGAGGCATGCAGGCCTTTTTGAGAAAAGTATGCTCCTCTGGACATGTCAAATAGCTGGTAACCAAGCTAATTCTTCATCGACTCCGGGTATTTCCCTTTGGGACTGGGGTGGACAGAAAGTGTCAGTGAAGATGTAGAGGGTCGATGAGAATCATTTAAGCGATGGACTGGCCTGAAGGCATCCATATTAGAAGTTGAAAGGACCTTCCAAGACTCCCCTGACTCCAGCTTTTATAAATATATGAAAACTGAGGTTTAGAAAAGATAGTTACAATGACATTTTTAAATAAATTTAAATCATCATCACTGCCCATAAAGATTAACACTTGGTGATTATTGCATCCATGAGAATATTGTTTCAGGCATAGTTTCTGAGCTAGGTAATAGGTCTTTAATTCTTCTGACCTGTTATGGATGGGGAACGTCCAGCCCGCGGGCCATATAAGGCCCTCGAAATCTATACCGGCTAACGTCACACGCCTCACCAAAGTAGCCTGACCAACTACAGTAGGATGATTTTTAAGTTGATAATTTTGTCTGGCCACGAATGATGTTATAAGTATCCAAGTGGCCCTCGGCAGAAAAGTTTCCCCACCCCTGCTTAAGGGCAATTGAGAGCCAGATGGCATGTCTCCTGCCTGTAAGTTTGTCTGCACTGGAGTAACACGATGACGGAATGACGTGTTGTGACCGGGCTGTGGCACCTGCTGGGATCTAGGATGAGGCACCCATGTGTTACTGGGTCACCACTCTGCAGTCCTGACTCCTCCAGCCCCAGCTCCAGCCAGGGCCTCGGGAATGCGGTATCCAAGGCGACCCTTCCTTAATTATGAAAAGAGAAGCTCCTTGAAGGAGCTTCCCTACAAGTTCTGCCGCGGAAGGAAATAGATATTTGCACGGATACTAAATATATGCTTTGTTAGAGCTGACTCTTCGGGACCTACCAGATCCGTTCTCATCTTGATCTCAGACCAAGGTGAAGACAACCCCACTTTAACGGGGTCAGTATAGTGGGTCTCATGTTACCAGTCTATTTTTTTAAATGTTCTGGGAGAGTCTAAAAATGATCTCACATGTAACTTTATAGAATTAACTACAACATTTGTTCCAAATACCAAGTGTTATCCAAGCTTTGCCAAATTCGCAATGTTATAAGTACCCTGCTTTTAGGTTGCAAAACCGTCAATAAATTGCTCCATTGAATTGGTTAACCCCAACCATAGCATCAGGGAGATTTTCAGGACTCCTCCAGGGAACACCTTTGTCACAAACTGTCATTTGCTTAGAATGTCAAACAAGACCAATCTCAATGCCACCCAGAAGAATAAATATATATAAATATAAAACACACCCCCACACACACATTTTCCCACTGTTTTATTTTATTTTTTTGAATCTATACAGGCAACAGCCTCAGATTCCAATCACCACAGGAACAGGTGTTGTGTATCCTGGTGCTATTACTATGGCAACGACCACACCATCACCTCAGATGACATCTGACTGCTCTAGCACCTCCGCCAGCCCAGAGCCCAGCCTCCCGGTCATCCAGAGCACTTACGGCATGAAGACGGACGGCGGCAGCCTCGCTGGCAACGAAATGATCAATGGAGAGGATGAGATGGAAATGTATGACGACTATGAAGATGACCCCAAATCAGACTATAGCAGCGAAAATGAAGCCCCAGAAGCTGTCAGTGCCAACTGAGGAGTGTTTGTTTGCTGAATTAAAGTACTCTGACATTTCACCTCCCCTCCCCCAACAAGAGTTCTTAAAGAGCCCGCATGCATTTGTGGCTCCACTATTACATCAGCAGAATGGTCTTAATTGTTTTGTAAAGTGTGAGACAGATTAAGTTTTCCCTGATTTTTCATGAACTTGAGTTTTTTGTCGTTATTGTTATTGTTGTTGTTGTTTTTTTAATTTAGGTGAAGACATATTAAATATGAGACACCAGGACTTGAAAACTTATCTCAACCCATAGCTGTCTTACAAGTCTTATATTTTTGTCTTACTTTTTTTTTTTCTTTTGGATGTTGATAAAGGTTTAAGTTACTGTTTTAGATGGGGTTAAACATTCTCACTCAGGTATGCTGTGCCGGCCTACAGGTTGTGAATGTGTTTTTATTCTGAATTATTTTAGGATTTCATATTGTGAGGATTTCCTATTGTGAGACAGAGCAAGCCCACGGCGTGTGCAGCTGGGGTAGGGCAGATCCGAACGGCCTCAGAATTCCACGTGTCCACGTGTAGAGCTCAACTTTGAATGTGCCAAACTTTCTCATCACTTTTGAATCTTAATATTTTGAAAGTCTTAAAGGAGACACTGCAAAGTCTTAGACAATCTTTGACATCTTAAAATAAAATAGCAAACCATACTTTTTTTTTTCCAGAAAATGGTAAAGTACTCAGGAATCTGGAGACAAGATATTGTAAGGAACGAACAAGGTTGCCACAGTGCATGTACCCAATCCTGTTTGCCTCTTGACGTGCCATCAGTGTGCGACATGGTGTGGCGTTTGCACACCCGAGCGACCACCACAGCAGATACCGACACGGTGGTCTTCCCTGCCTGAGACCACCTCTCACTACATCCATTGTCCCTTGGCCTTTAACCCTGACATTCAGTCTTAACACATTTTCTCTTAAATAATTTATTCATTCCAGAATGTCAAGGGTCCACTTACTATTTATTTTAAAAATTTGTTGGTGGCATTAATTTAATAATTCTTGTTTTTCACCGTCCTTCCCCAAAGAACTTTTTAGCCCTTTTCACCTCCTTCTCCTGATAGATACAGAAGATGTACATAGTGACTTCCTGTCCCCAGGGCATCCGGAAGCATTTCTGACACACGGTACTATCCGACACCCATCTCGTAGATTTAGACACGAGTGTATCTGGCTGTAGGGCTGTGCGTTGGGATACAGGTGCAGAGTCTTACAGTTCAACAGCTATGCCCCTGAGGTTTGCTGTGACCTTGAATCTTTTGCCAGAATTTCCCCGAGTCAGCTCAGCAGCAAGTGGTAGGATCTGCCTCAGTGGCGTTTTCCCTGAGTGCCAATCCGCAGCGAGGGTCAGCGGCGGTGACTTCCAGGCAGCTGAGCCCCGCAGCCAAGCCTAAAGCCCAAGGCTGCAGGCCTTGGAGGAGGCTGCAGTGACTCTGTCATGGGCTGGCATCTTTACACTAAGTTGCCTGTCCCATCTGGCACATTTGGGGAGTTCTTTGCGAAACCCTCACGATGCCAGAAGCCGCATGACAGCCCCAAAGGAAAGACAGAGGCAGATAGTCATGATACATCCAGAGAATGACAGAAAAGCACAGGGAAGGAGAAGGAGGGGAAACACATTCCCTATAGGGGATGTTCCTACTGTTAACGCTGGGAACTGATCACTCCTGGGGCAGCAGGGGTCCGCTGCCTTGCCCTCTGTCTGTGGCCATGCGGGGCCGCCTCTGTGGGAGCAAGATTAACCACACTTGTCACACCAGGGTTTCGGGAGATGAGCTGAGGGGCTGGGAGGCAGAGTGAGGTCTTATTCCCCATCCCCTCATTACAGGGAGCTCGGCCATGCCATTTTAACCTTCCTGAGACCAGGACTGATTGCCTTTCGGGGGAGGGGGCCTCACCCAGAGCGGCTCAGTGGGAGGATGTCTGCGAATGGGACAGTTCACGTCACAGGACAACCCAGAATCTGATCGCCAGGACATAGGAACGGCCCCATCAGATTTCTTGAGCCATTTTGTCACTTGGAAGAAAGTAGTGTACCTTTCTATTTATTTAAAGAGTGCTCAAGGCCATACCTAATAGCAGTAAATAGGTCAGGCCGAGATAGCGCCGGCTAGGTCCTTAGCTGGGAGTGCTCTCTATAAGCTGAACAAGGTACTGATAGGAATGTTTTGTTCTCATATTGGTTGGGGATTGGAACTTTGTTTTTGTACATTTATTTCAAATGAGGAGGAGGTCATTTTTCTAAAAAAAAAACAAAAAAAAGTATTTATTATTGTCTTACTGATTTCTTTTGAACATATACCTCTCCTCAGTTCATTCTTGTGATTTTTCTCATCCTCTGCTACCTTTGCTTTGCCCTCTCTCTCTCCTTTTTTATTTCGTTGCGTAGGTAGAGTGATGTATGGCTAGCATTGTAATGTATGTAATTAATTTTGCACAAAGGCAAACATTTAGAGAAGTAGGTTAATTTTGTTTGTTTTATGACCATGCCAAAATAATATTCTGGGCTGGTGGAGGAGAAAGGACTGTTCTATAGGACTGAAACTTGATTTCGCTTATAGTAAAAAAAAAAATAACAAAACAAAACAAAAAAAACAACAAAAAACACACACACTCACAGATGTTGTTTCGTAAGTGTTATAAGCACTGGATATAAATGGTATTTTTTATCACTTCTGACTAATGTGAAACTGTTGTACGAAAACTACATGAACAAAAGTCATCTGTTTCGACTCGTGTGGGCTTGCCTCACAGTTGCCGGATCTGAGTCATTTTTATGTCTTGTTATTTCATTTATTTATGCAAAATACATGTGTGTATGAACACTTTGTTTTGGCTCCAGCTCTGCTTCAGTACTGGGGTGCAGTTACTGCTAGCCATGTTCTCGAGAATGAAAGGCTGTTCAGGAATGATCTGATTGCGAACGCCCCTTCGTCCGGCCAAACAGTGATGCTGTATTTGAATCTAAATTCTGCGCATAAGCAGCTTATTCTATTTATTAGCCAAGTTTGGCTCTAAAAACCCTTGGAAATTAAGAATGACAATCATAGGGATCACTTCATTTTATCTGCAGTGGGGCTTAAACAAAGTTTTTATGACTTTACCATCTCATTTTAGATTTTTTTTCTAATTGTGTAAATATAACATAGACATAGAATTTATTTTTGGTTCATGAATACTTAGTGAGAGATAAGTTATGTATTTCCTTTTTGTTCTCTATCCATATATGTTGGTCCAGATTAGAAGTTGACAAGTCACTGCACCGCGTGGGGACAGTGGCTTCCCAGCCAGGTTGAGGTCAGCGTCCCACCTTCACTCGGAGCAGCCAAGCCCTTCACTCGGGTCCTCATGCAGGTAGAACCCACTGTCCACAGACTCAGACTTGGACTTTGTTTCTTACAGGAAGTCGATGGATTGAGCATACCAAATTTCCAGTGCAGCTGGCAGAGAGTCAGTTTGCTTTGTGAATCCACGTAAACTGGGTAAGGTAGTTCCGTGAGCATTGAATAGCAAGAAGCACGAATGTTATTATCAAAGCAAAAGTCTGCCTCTGAGAGGGGCTATTAACAAAAGTCCCACCATGCCAATTAGATGAAAGCACATCAATAAACTTTTCTTCAGTGCTGTTTATTTTATAGTGTTTTCAAATCAAAGATTAAAAAAATCTCCATTTTGGTAAAGAACTTGCAGGATTAGGATTTTCCATGTCACTTAGAATAGGGACACTGGCAGACAATTCTAGTCTAAAAATGGACCATAAGGAATAGGAAGGAATGAAGGAAAAGAAGAAAGAAAGAAAGAAAGAAAGAAAGAAAGAAAGAAAGAAAGAAAGAAAGAAAGAAAGAAAGAAAGAAAGAAAGAAAAGAGAAAAAGAAAAAGAAAAAGTCACTCTGTGGACAGGAGCAGCAGGCAGACGATTTCCGTTTCACTGGCAGATGTGGTGTGGTCTCTTTTCCAGGAAGGTTCGAGAGCTTTGTTGTTTCCATATGTATCCAGCTCAGCCTTTAGGAGCACATCAGTTTGCTTCATTTGGTATTTGATACTCCCCAGCCTTGTCCTCAGGCCTGATTTTATTTGCCAGGGTCCTGACACGGATTCCCAGGCCAAGTTCTACATTCAGGTGTGGGCTCGCAGTGCTATTGAGTTTGTCCAGTTCTGGCCTCCCCTGAACATGAGCCCCACTGGAGCCTGGGTGTTTGAAAAGGGTGTGATCACTCTAGGGCTGAAATTAAAGGCTTCTTTCTTTTCCTTACGAAGCCCGGCTGCTTCTTCCGAGCACGCCCTCCTGAGCCAGGAGCACAGGCACTAGCTGAAAGGGGGGATTGTTTCGAGGAAGTCCCTCTACCCCTAGTAAGAAGGCACCCGGTCACTGGAACACCACAGCTGTGGCTGCTTATCTCAACTTACTAAGGTTGCAGAGAGGTGACCTCTACCTACTCATTAGGGAAAGGAAAAAGAATCACTTAGTAGTTCTAAGTCATGCGAGAAGTCCTGTACCAAGTGCCAACAACTGCAAACAATGCAGCTAGAAGAATGTATTGGAATTATTACTGGGTCTTCCTTTTTAATGAGAAAATGACAAAGTGGTTGCTGTAGCCCTGCCTGGTTCTGTACACATTTGTCTAAGGACTGAGTTGGCACTGAAGCTCACTTCTCAAAGTATAACATTGTATGACCTCATTTGTCCTTTTACAAAAGCACTTGCATCGTTTCCTTAAGTCATCTGCCCCCTGACGTGTTTTCTTCCTTAATAAACAACTTCTCTCTGTTATTCCTGCCGATTATGTTCTGTTTCTGATGCCCTATACTGTTGAGCGTAACCCTCTGCTGATATTGAAAATATTGATGTGCAAACACATTTCCTCTTCATCCCCATCCCGTCTTTTCCTTTGGGGACAGATTGCTTTCCCAAAGCTCACGAACAAGAATTGGAAATGCTGGTATCTCTGGGGTGGGGCTAGAGGTGGGTGGGGGAGGGGCAGGCAGGTAGCAGGGCAGACACTCTCCTGATGGGTGTCCATGGGAATATGAAAGCTTGAAGGCAACTCAGTGACATATCTTGCTCAGTAGTTTCTTATTCCTGAAGAACCACAAGCATCAAGTGAGGCCTCAGTGCTGGTGCTCTTGGAGTGTGGGGAATGTGCAAATATGTAACTGTTCTGTATGCCGCACGTTGCAGATCCGCCCCTGTGCATTCTCCGTTCGTCTTCCTTTGTCATGTGTGTTTTTGCTTTTCCGAAAGTGCAGTCTTTATTGTACCCTTTTCCAGCTTGTAGCAAATTAGAATGCTTAGCATTTATGTTCATGCATTATTGTATTTGCCATGTAAAGTTTTTATTACCTTAGACAAGCTTATAAGCTGTTACTACATAACTTATCTTACTGTAACTCTTTTATTTCCCGACATTGTAATTTGTTTGTGATGTATATTGTGAGATTGTATTTTATGTTAATTTAATCAGCACAATTCACTGACATGCTGGACTGACATGCTGGCTGCTGTTTCAAAGTGTAAAGTTTGTGTAGGGCTGTTGGGACAACTGCGCCTCTGTTGTCAAGGTACTGTGCTTGGTTCCTCCAGCAACACTGCGGGTGTGGCCCTGGAGACCGAGGGCACCGAATACACCCTTGAGCAAATCTTAACTGCGATTTCCTTTGTAGAAATTCTATGTATAATGCAGGTACCTACTTGGCCCATGGCTGGTAACTATTTGGGCAATTAGAAAAAAACAAAAACCATAAAAAATAGTGTCTATTGCTGCTTTGAATATGTTTGAAAGTCTGAAAATGTAAATAGTTTATCAAAAAAAAAATCTTGTACAGTCCAGTGTAAAGTTTTTAAATGACCTTTTAAGGGTTGCCATCACATCTCTCTCACGCTCTCCTCTCGATAATGGGAAAAAAAAGTTTGCTAAGGATGAGAGAAATGGGGGGGAGGGGAAGAACCTCTGCAAATTGAAAGGAATGACTCATTGTTCTTAGCCTTGTTGCATTCCCGGACTTCGGGGATCTTGTTGTTCAGTATTGACATGACACAGAACTCGACATTGAATAATCTTTCGCTGGTACTTTTCGAAGTCTTCCCCCCCACTCCCACCTCAGAACTAAGGGAAAAGACACAAATTGAAAGACACACTGTCTTTATCTATTCTGGTGTATGTTGGCACCTTAGCTACTTTTTTTTTTTTTCCTTTTTGCACAAGGTGCTTTCCTGATATGTTAAACATGCCATCTTTGGGTGATCATGTATTTGCCATGACGGGCGAGGCCCGCAGGGGAGTGTCTATAAGAACTGCCTATTTATGCTCATTTACCTCAAGACTGTCCTCTCTACCCTTAATCTAGTCGTCATCACTCCATCTTTTGTACTGCTGTTGACACTTACAAATTAAAGATAAATTTTGTTTTATGACCTCTGTGTTTGGCCTTGTCTGTGCCCTGCAGACTGTTCCCACCCTGGGGCCCGCGGGCCTTGGCTTGGCCCTGCTGCCGGATTCTCTGCTCCCTCCCGCTGCCTGGCTGGGAGGTCGGTGCTCTGGCTCCGAAGCCTGCAACCCCGGCCTGGAAGACGTGCCTGCTTTTTTCATTGTGGAGACGCTGCTGCAGCAGGAAATGCTTGTGGATTTAGGTGGTAGGAACAGGAGCCAAGGTGGATTTTTGTCAAGAGAAGATGAGAAAGAATGTCACTTCCTATTTGCCTGACTCCTTCACGAGAGTGAAACGGTTTGTAAAAGCTCCGAGCATCCCAGGGTATGAATGAATCTCAAGGGCCAGCCTCTCATCTGACACCGGCTCCTCCAAGCCCAGAAGCCGAGAGTGGGAAATGCCACACTTCTGGAACCTCCGCCTCCGCTATGGTTGGGAGTGGTTGGCTGATTTCTCAGCTGCTTCTGCCTCGGGGAAGGAGAGCTCCCATCTCTTGTCCAGCCAGGAGTTGGACCAGGAGTGGAATGATGTCAGCTTTTCGGAGTCTGAGGGATGGAGGTGGGGTAGTGGGCTGAAGGGAGCCAGGCCGTAAGGGAGACTTGCCAGCCCTCCAGCCGGTGCCGGATCCCGAGGTCAGAGGCCGGCACCTGGAGAGGGAAGCAAAGGCTTTGAGAGAGAGCGGGGCGGGGGAAGACCCCCCAACTTTTCTTTTGGTATTTCTGATGAAAAATGCCTCATTAGAGAAAAGCCAAGGATTTGTGGACTTGAGCAGTCAAATTGTACGTCTGACGCACGCTGTCCCTAGTCCTGGAAACATAGCATTTCCTGATCCTCTGTGCCCTGTGGGCTTTTGAGAGCCCAGGTAAGTAGAGGGAGTGGCCTTGGCGTCCCAGCAATCTGGTCTGCCACTTGCCAGCTGTGTGAGCTCCCCCTCTGAGTTTCCTCCTCCCTAAAGTGGGGTCACGATCCCTACGTCTCCCGGTCATCGGGGAGTTCCATGAAACGGCGAATGGCACGTGTGGAAGGTCCGTCAGTGTCCTGCCTGCGGAGTGGACCCTGCCTCCTCTGGTCGGAGGGTGGGTGGGGGTGGGGCAGTGCTGTCACTGGCCCAGGAAAGTGAGGGACGTGTGTGATCACATATGTGATTCCCCCAACCTTCCTCCAAGCAGGGCTCCAGGC